GGGGGGGGGGCGGGGGGGAGATTTTTGTCCCCCGGCCAGTGCTTCAGGAAATTCTTCGGCACATGCATAAAGAAGGACATATGGGGTCAGGAGCAATGGTTGATTTAGCCACTCGATCCCTTAAGGGGCTGGGCATGCACATGAAAGCCCAGAGAATTGTTAGTAATTGCCCTGTCTGCCAACGAACCAACCAAAAGGGGTGTGGCCCTCCCGCCCCAATGGGAGGCCGGCCATGGGCCACGTACCCTTTCCAGAGATGGCAAGTTAACTTTGCAGAGATGCCCCCTTGCAGGGGCTATAAATACTTACTCGTATTTGTAGATCAGCTTACTGGATGGGTAGAGTGTTACCCCACCCGGCATTGTCAGGCCCGGGCTGTCACTAAGGCCCTGTTGCATGAAATACTCCCCCGATTCCACCTCCCTGAAACGACTGAATCTGATCAGGGAAGCCACTTTACCTCACAAGTGGTCCAACAGGTGTCCCAGGCACTCGGTATACAATGGAAGTTGCATACCCCCTGGAGGCCGCAGAGCTCGGGTCAGGTGGAAAGAATGAATAGAACTCTCAAGGATACCCTCACTAAACTATGCACGGAATCTAGTTTAAAGTGGCTTGATGCGTTACCACTTGCCCTTACCCGCATTTGAAGGGCCAGGCGTAAGGGTCTTAAGCTCTCACCATTTGAACTAGTCTTTGGGTTCCCTCCCTGAATCCTGATCCCGGGATTCCGGGAGGATATAAACTGGGAAATGGGAAAGGACTCCTTATGGAAACAGGTCTCGGGGCTGCAATCTGTTTTGTTACAGCTGCATCGATACGCGGTGCCTTTTCAGGCCCTTCCCTTAAACCAGCCCATGCACCCGTTCCAGATCGGTGATCAGGTCCTTGTCAAGAAGTGAAGCGTGACCCCCTCACACCACGGTGGGACGGCCCGCACACTGTCTCGCTCATCAGCCAAGCTGCAGTTAAAGTTCTTGGGAGTGACAAATGGACACACCATACGCGGGTAAAGCGGTTTCTGAACCCTAACCCGGAGACTGAACCAGCGGAAGAGGACACCAGCCCTTTGCCCGCCCCGGTTCCGGACGCCCGGGGTAGCACAGGCGAAGACTCCACCTGGGAGTATCAGCAGCTGGACGGACTAAAGGGGTTGTTTAGAAAAAGATAATGAAATTGTTGTTAATATCTCTGTTTATGTACTTCCATCACTATTATGGTTGGGAAAATAGGTTCTTACAACTGGGGGAGACAATAGCAAACTCTTTTAATCTCAGTAACTGTTGGGTGTGTGGAGGCCCAGAAAAATTAAATAAATGGCCTTAGGTAGCCCAGCCGGTGAAGGCTAAGGATTGGGGACCGTAAAGCTCTCAAAATGTTTTTAAGGG